GCCTACCAAGAGCCCCTTATGAAGCAGGTTAGGTTTCGGCCACCCGAGGGCCGCTTATAAGCGGTTAGGTTTTCCTGGCCTTTAACATATTTTCCCAAACCCCCTTATAAGCAGGTTTGGTTCTGGCCTACCCTAGAGCCCCGCTTATAAAGCAGGGTTTGGTTTGGCCTACCATAAACCCGCTTATAAACAGGTTTGGTTCTGGCCTACCCAAGACCCAAATTAAAAAGCAGGTTTTTGTTCGGGGGCCCACCATAGAGCCGCTTATAAAACAGGTTTTGGTTCTGGGTACCTAAGCCTGCTTAAAGCAGTTAGGTTCTGGCCTCCACAGAGCCCGCTTATAAAGCATTTTGGTTTGGCCTACCCCAGACCCATTAAAAGCAGGGTTAGGTTTTTGGCCTACCACAGACCCCTTATAAAACAGGGTTTGGGTTTTGGGCCTACCCCGAGCCCGCTTAAAAGCAGGTTTGGGTTCTGGCCTACCAGAGCCCACTTTAAAGGGAGGTTAGGTTCTGGCCTACCCAGAGCCCCCTTTAAAGAGGTTAGGTTCTGGCCCACCAAAAGCCCCCTTATAAAAGGGGTTTGGTTCGGCCTACCAAGAGCCCCCTTATAAAGCAGGTAGGGGTTTTGGGCCCACCCAAAAAGCCCCTTATAAAGCAGGATAGGTTTCGGGGTACCCAAAACCCACTTATAAAAACGGATAGTTTTGGGCCCACCAAGAGCCCGCTTATAAAACAGGATGGTTCTGGCCTACCATAGAGCCCACTTATAAACAGGATAGGTTTGGCCTACCACAGAGCCCCTTATAAAGCAGGTTAGGTTTTGGCCCTACCACAGAGCCCCTTATAAAGCAGGTTAGGTTTGGCCTACCCAACCCGCTTTTAAAAACAGGTTAGGTTCTGGGCCCCCACAGAGCCCACTTTTAAAGCAGGTTAGGTTCTGGCCTACCCCGAGCCCCTTTTTTAAAACAGGTTAGGTTTTTTGGCCTACCCCAAGCCCCGCTTTAAAGCAGGTTTGGTTTGGCCTACCACAGGCCCACTTTTTAAAACAGGTTTGGTTCTGGCCTAAAGCCCCCTTAAAAGCGGGTTTGGTTTTGGCCTACCCTAGACCCCTTAAAAGCAGGTAGTTCTGGGGTACCAAGAGCCCCTTTTAAAGCAGGTTATTTTGGCCTACCCCCGAGCCCCTTAAAAGCGGTTTGGTTTGGCCTACCAAGAGCCCCTTATAAAGCAGGGTTTGGTTCGGCCTCCAGAGCCCGCTTTTTAAAGCAGGTTAGTTCGGCCACCAGAGCCCCTTATAAAGAGGTTAGTTCTGGCCTACCATAGACCCTTTTTAAAAACAGGTTTTGGTTCTGGCCTACCCCAAAAGCCCCTTTAAAGCAGGTAGGTTTTGGCCTACCAAGAGCCCCTTATAAAGCAGGGGAGGTTTTGGCCTACCATAGGCCCCCTTTTAAAGCAGGTAGGTCTGGCCTACCATGAGCCCCTTATAAAAGGTAGGTTCTGGGCCCACCCCAAAACCCCTTTTAAAGCGGTTTGGTTTGGCCTACCAAGAGCCGCTTAAAAAAGCAGGTTTGGTTTCCTGGCCTACCAAGAGCCCCTTATAAAACAGGTTAGGTTTGCCTACCAAGAGCCCCTTAAAAGCAGGTTTTGGGTTTGGTACCCCAAAAGCCCCCCTTTTTTAAAGCAGGGGTTTGGTTCTGGCCTACCAAAAAAGCCCGTATAAACAGTTAGGTTTGGCCCCAAAGAACCCCTTATAAAGCAGGGTTTGGTTCTGGCCTACCATAGAGCCCGCTTATAAAGCAGGTTAGGTTTTGGCCTACCATAGAGCCCGCTTATAAAGGTTAGGTTCTGGCCTACCATAGAGCCCACTTATAAAGCAGGTTAGGTTCTGGCCTACCATAGAGCCCACTTATAAAGCAGGTTAGGTTCCTGGCCTACCATAGGCCCACTTATAAAGCAGGTTAGGTTCTGGCCTACCATAGAGCCCACTTATAAAGCAGGTTAGGTTCTGGCCTACCATAGAGCCCACTTATAAAGCAGGTTAGGTTCTGGCCTACCATAGAGCCCACTTATAAAGCAGGTTAGGTTCTGGCCTACCATAGAGCCCACTTATAAAGCAGGTTAGGTTCTGGCCTACCATAGAGCCCACTTATAAAGCAGGTTAGGTTCTGGCCTACCATAGAGCCCACTTATAAAGCAGGTTAGGTTCTGGCCTACCATAGAGCCCACTTATAAAGCAGGTTAGGTTCTGGCCTACCATAGAGCCCACTTATAAAGCAGGTTAGGTTCCTGGCCTACCATAGAGCCCACTTATAAAGCAGGTTATTTCCTGGCCTACCATAGAGCCCACTTATAAAGCAGGTTATATCTGGCCTACCATAGAGCCCACTTATAAAGCAGGTTAGGTTCCTGGCCTACCATAGAGCCCACTTATAAAGCAGGTTAGTTCTGCCTACCATAGAGCCCACTTATAAAGCAGGTTAGGTTCTGGCCTACCATAGAGCCCACTTATAAAGCAGGTTAGGGTTCCTGGCCTACCATAGAGCCCACTTATAAAGCAGGTTAGGTTCTGGCCTACCATAGAGCCCACTTATAAAGCAGGTTAGTTCTGGCCTACCATAGAGCCCACTTATAAAGCAGGTTATTTTCTGGCCTACCATAGAGCCCCTTATAAAGCAGGTTAGGTTCCTGGCCTACCATAGAGCCCACTTATAAAGCAGGTTAGGTCTGGCCTACCATAGAGCCCACTTATAAAGCAGGTTAGGTTCTGGCCTACCATAGAGCCCACTTATAAAGCAGGTTAGGTTCTGGCCTACCATAGAGCCCACTTATAAGCAGGTTAGGTTCTGGCCTACCACTAGAGCCCACTTATAAGCAGTTAGGTTCTGGCCTACCAAGAGCCCACTTATAAAGCAGGTTAGGTTCTGGCCTACCATAGAGCCCACTTATAATGCAGGTTAGGTTCTGGCCTACCATAGAGCCCACTTATAAAGCAGGTTAGGTTCTGGCCTACCATAGAGCCCACTTATAAAGCAGGTTAGGTTCTGGCCTACCATAGAGCCCACTTATAAAGCAGGTTAGGTTCTGGCCTACCATAGAGCCCACTTATAAAGCAGTTAGGTTCTGGCCTACCATAGAGCCCACCTTATAAAGCAGGTTAGGTTCTGGCCTACCATAGAGCCCACTTATAAAGCAGGTTAGGTTCTGGCCTACCATAGAGCCCACTTATAATGCAGGTTAGGTTCTGGCCTACCATAGAGCCCACTTATAGCAGGTTAGGTTTCTGGCCTACCATAGAGCCCACTTATAACGCAGGTTAGGTTTCTGGCCTACCATAGAGCCCACTTATAACGCAGGTTAGGTTCTGGCCTACCATAGAGCCCACTTATAACGCAGGTTAGGTTCTGGCCTACCATAGAGCCCACTTATAAAGCAGGTTAGGTTCTGGCCTACCATAGAGCCCACTTATAAAGCAGGTTAGGTTCTGGCCTACTGCTGTAAAATGAAACAGACTTTTTTTTTTTTTCAAATGCATATAAAAGCCTGATTAGGTGACCAATATAGCTAGGCCTAAAAAAAGCATATACAGTTCACATTACTTTTTTTTTCAACAAACTGGCTGTATCCCACCAAGGCAGGATGACCTAAAAAGAAAAACGCGAGTTTCTGTTTTGAAATTTAGTAACGTATCCAGAAGATGTTACACATTACTTGCAATATTTTCATCTTAGCTTATAGCAACTGGTCAATATATTTAGTGTAAGAAGTCTGAATAAATCAAAAATGGATGTAACTTATATTGGCAGTTTGGAGGGATATGTTGTGTATCTTTATATGTATATGCTTCTAAACTGTTGTATTCTGAGCACCTCTGCAAAAACAGTGATAATGTATGAGTGTGGTGAAAGTGTTGAATGATGATCAAAGTATTTTCTTTTTGGGGATTTTCTTTCTTTTTTGGGTCACCCTGCCTCGGTGGGAGACTGCCGACTTGTTGAAAAAAAAAAAGAAAAATAACTGAAAACTGCTGAATTAGCAAGGTACTGTAAATCGCAGTGCTGTAAAGTGAGGCCTGCCTGTACCTAGTAGTGGAAGTGAGGTCTGCCTGTACCTAGTAGTGGAAGTGAGGTCTGCCTGTACCTAGTAGTGGAAGTGAGGTCTGCCTGTACCTAGTAGTGGAAGTGAGGTCTGCCTGTACCTAGTAGTGGAAGTGAGGTCTGCCTGTACCTAGTAGTGGAAGTGAGGTCTGCCTGTACCTAGTAGTGGAAGTGAGGTCTGCCTGTACCTAGTAGTGGAAGTGAGGTCTGCCTGTACCTAGTAGTGGAAGTGAGGTCTGCCTGTACCTAGTAGTGGAAGTGAGGTCTGCCTGTACCTAGTAGTGGAAGTGAGGTCTGCCTGTACCTAGTAGTGGAAGTGAGGTCTGCCTGTACCTAGTAGTGGAAGTGAGGTCTGCCTGTACCTAGTAGTGGAAGTGAGGTCTGCCTGTACCTAGTAGTGGAAGTGAGGTCTGCCTGTACCTAGTAGTGGAAGTGAGGTCTGCCTGTACCTAGTAGTAGATGTGTTCCTAATGTCTGATACTCTTGTTACAGTGTTAGTCATAAGTATTACGTCCAAGTTTGTTGCCTTAAGAACTATTGATATGCCTGCCTTAAGTTTGTTGTTTGTTGCCACTGTATTTTGATTATGATCCTTGAATCTTTACAAGATTTACATACAGGTTGCAAAATAAATAAATAAATAAATAAATAAGCTATGCTGATACCAAGAGAAGACTTATTTACTTCAATGCTTAAAGATGGAAATTTGGTTAAAATAAATTAAGAGTTTTAAAAAATTACCTTCAAATACTATAAAAAAATATCGAAATTGATAATCATTCAATTGAACATAAACTCATTCACTAATTAATAAAAAACACCAAGCAGCTGCAGATTATTAAGCCGTGCTAACATGCAAATATATACTTCAAAAACATTTCAAGATATATTTTCTTAAGACACTTACCAGCTTCTCATCTCCATTTTTGGCAGACTGTGAGAATATAAAGCACAGCGTGGCTTGATAAGTTGGGTAGAACAGATGGAAATGAACAAGGAAAAGCTTAACGGCTAATGCAAAATGTTCAAAACAAGACTTGTAAGGTATATCCACATCTACAGTGAAAGTTCATTCTGGATTCTCAACGCAAATATCCATATTGCACTGAAAGTGCATTGCAAAGTATCAAAAATTCATATAATGTATTAAAATAGCTTTAGCAAACTACGAATACTTGCAATACAAGACAAAATTCTTCAAAGTATCTGAACTGTGGAGAGACACAAATGCAGTATATATATATAAATAATATGCAATCTTTATTAACAATGTTTCACCCACACAGTATGGGCAAAACACAGTCAATACTGGATAGCATTATATTGCATCTGTCTTTATCCATCATCTCGGTATTTTATACCATTTCTATCTGAACAGTTTTTAATAAATTTACAGTTTTGCAGTCCATTCTTTCAGTGCAACATAAACAATCACTACAACTATTTCTAGTATAACCACTATTTGAACCCATGTTAGTGTAACAAGAAGGGTGGTCATCACTTTCCAAGATGGTAAATACACCTTCGTTAACTCCAACACACAGCTCAAAGTTTGCAGTCACACCTGTGAAACCTGTAGGTTGTCTGGGTTTGGGCTGAACATGAGACACACAAGTCAACCATTAGCCCTCAACCTCCTTCAGTTGGACGTGCTTTACTTGTGACTGGTTGACGAGCAGCTACCAGCGGCCATGGCCAAGCATCTGCCAGGGGCATCAGAGAGACACTGGCATCTTCTCTGTCTCCCCACTTCACCACCATGTATTCGTTAAAAGTGGTGAAGCTTCACAACAGAGGAGAACCCAGACTCGTTAGGTTGTGACAATTACCTTTTAAATATGCAAACTGCTCTTCCAGTGGTGAAATACCAAACAAAATGGCACACCACCACTGAATTAAGGTATGCTGTGACTAATCAATTTATAATTAGGGAAACAGTGTCTAGAAAGGAGACTATAGGGATACAGTTGCCCCCTGATAGTGGCTGCTGGTCCCGGCCTTCGTGGCCTCTACTCTGTTGCTCACAACTGCACCCTCACCGCTTCTCCTCCACAGACATCACACCAAAGTCCTAATACCCCACTTCCATCCTTCCAAACATCTGATCCATGCTATTTTCTTTTCCTTTCATAATTTTCTATTTCTTTCTTTCTTTCTTTTTTTATTGGATCTCTGTTGCCTAGAGACATCTGGAGACAGGAAGCAGTTGTGAACACTAAAGGAGAGGCCAAAGGTAACCTTAAACTCCTTGCAAACTTACCCTCAGTTTGGGGTTCTTAAGTCTTTGGAAATAGCGCTCCAACTGAAACAAGGAAAAAGAATGGAGGCCAATCATTATATACCAATTCATAATATTAAAATAAAAAAATTTAATTTTGAATTTTGAGAGGGCTGAAAGCTGAGTGGACTTCAGGTCTTGGTGTCAGGTACAGGAGCTGGATCATTAAGTCCCTACCATACAAACTGTCTGTCTGTTTTTTACTTCATTTAAATTAAGCTCAAGACGTACACAAATAAAAGGAAAAAAAACAAACAAAAGTGAATGTAGTCTGAGTGTTTATCAACAGTGTTGTCAGTCCCCCAGTAATTAAAATGGGCCCTGCTATAATGGAATAATATAATTTCTTGAAAATAGGCCCCAAAATAAATGAGAAATGATCCAAGCACCTCACCTGTCATTACCAAAAGATGAAGTATAAACAGACCTTCCCCAGAACGGCCGAAACTGTCTCTCACATTCGTTCTTGCACACACAGGTCTTTCAGAAATGCTCCGAGGCTATCTTTCTGTTTTTTAGTTCTGTATTGAGACTGGTGAAAAAGCACTGAACTTAACTATTCCAATTAAACCATGACTATATCAAATTACTTTAATTCATTACAAATAATCATATAAAAATTTTTTTGTAAAATATTTATATGTATATTATAAATTAATGAGATAATCAAGAGCAATAATGAAAAAAGTGCAAAACAGTTAGAAATCTCTCAGGTTTTAAAGCCAGTATAAGATATATGTAAATCAAAGACAAAATTATAAACAGAAATATTTTTCTTCTTTTAATGAAGATTATTTTATGTATTTTCTGCATAAATATGAAAATCTAATATATAAACTGAATGTATATATAAATATGTATGTATAATTTTTTTACAACCTTAAAGCTTATAAATACAGTACTTTGAGGGCTTGTAAGTCACCTCGGAACATTGAGTGTACGAGGAAAGAAAATTGTTAATTGGTTTGGGTAGGATGGAGATGAGAGAGAGATAGAGAGAGACAGAGAGATATAGAGAGTGTGCAAGAGAGAGAATATTGTGAAGGTGAAGCCAAGTATCAAATCCTTCGGAAAAGAAGCAAAAAAAAAAAATGTTTGTCTGTATAAAAGTATGAATATTACAAGTGCTTATACTGTATAGAAAATAACTGAATGGATAAGTAAAAATTATCAGAAAAAATGTACAGTAAATGGCTTTACAAGATAACAGCTGAGGTGGATAACAGATTAAGCATGAAAGCTGAGAGCCAGTAATGTACAACTACCAAGATATGTAGCAACATAATCACTGATCATGAACTATCAATATACATGGCAACATAATCACTGATCATGAACAACTACCAAGATATGTAGCAACATAATCACTGATCATGAACAACTACCAAGATATGTAGCAACATAATCACTGATCATGAACAACTACCAAGATATGTAGCAACATAATCACTGATCATGAACAACTACCAAGATATGTAGCAACATAATCACTGATCATGAACAATCAATATACATGGCAACATAATCACTGATCATGAACAACTACCAAGATATATAGCAACATGAGCAACATAATCAGAGACAATAAGCACAAGCTCATACCAAACATAATGCAAGACAAACATTATGATTACTATAGAAAAAATGACTAGTGGTGAAAACTGCCACATGACATAGAGAATGGATAATATAATATACATTAACCTAACCACAGAGAAGAGCAAGTGTAGAGGAAGACGCAGCAAGACTTGTCACCTCCAGTCTAAATCATTTCCATCAACCTCACCACAAGACAGAAAAACACACACTACCACAAAGTAATATTTGATAGAAAAAACAATAGCACAAAGCAAGATGAGATAGAAAAAACAATAGCACAAAGCAAGATGAGATAGAAAAAACAATAGCACAAAGCAAGATGAGATAGAAAAAACAATAGCACAAAGCAAGATGAGATAGAAAAAGACAATAGCACAAAGTAATAGTTTTAAAGGACCAAAACACCATGATGAACTCAAAAGTCAAGAATGCTATAGCAATAACTTTAAACCAACAGAAAATACACAACTAATCACTATACATTATCATAAACACTGGTTTTTTTTCTCAAAACTATGACCATTTTCTGTAATTTCTAAAGAACAGCTACAAGCAAAGATTAAGCCCCAAGGTATCATATAGTCCATCATTATCACTGTGCCTTTACCATGTAGATTATTAGTATTATAATAATCATAACTGAGTGCTAAACCCATAGGGTTTACCATGTGGAACTTTTATAACACCCAATGCTGTAACAAGATGCATAATAAATCAGGGAACAGGTGGGGTTTCAACTCACAGTAAGCGAGTCTTAAAACTCCAGGCCAGTGTGTAAACCACTGGCCCAGCTGACTACAACAATAATCATCCAACTCTGTATATTTCTGTGCACCATAGAGGTTAGCATGGGTCACCACTGTGACTGCAAATATTTGCAATCGTGTTTTACGATTTCGTGAGTCAAGATGCCTCAAGATGCAAGATTTCTGCCAAGACTGCTTAATGGTGACAAATTGCAGCAGAAAAATGTAGGAAACACCTTGTAAAACGACAAGACCCAATAAGAAGAATAAGTTAAAGTTTCTGTCAATGCCCTGACCTGCCTCCTCAAAGTACAATTTCTATTTAAGCCAATTCCACTGTTCCTTTTGACCAAATTCTTAGCTACTTCACAAGTACGACTTCTGTTCTGTCTATCCAACACAAGAAACCACCCATTTAACTACGTATTTCAACTATTCTATAAATAGTTGTCCAATTTTACACAAAATTTGTCCTGTTTACCCAAAATTAAAAAAATAACAATGATAAGCAATGTAGACATTTTTTTTTTTTTCAACAAGTCGGTCGTCTCCCACCATCATCATCACCTTCATCATGTCCCCAGGTCTCTTCCATATTACACTTGCTTTCCACTTTGAATTCTTAATCACGCTAAAATAGAAGATTTGCTCTATTTCTTGAATACTTAAATATAACAGGGAATGATTGGTTATGGTTTACGGTGTCCCAATAATTGAATCAGATCTATTAAGTGACCATAAAACAGACTGGGGGAAGTAGGGGGGCTTTACCCAACCTCAGATATATTGGCAAAAAATCGAATATTTCCCCAAGTTTGAGCTCAATTTCAAGCTATTTCCATTCCTAAAACCAATCAGTTTCTGTAGTATGTCTTCCATTCTATCAAATGATACCAAAACACTGCCAATAAAACCATAAAAAAAATCTGAAAAAAACACCTCAAAGTCCATGCAGTTAAGAGGTTTTTTTTTCCATCGTGAGTCACTTAGACGAGCTCACAGCTTATCTAAGTGAGGTGAGCTCATGCAGAACTGCATGAGGTACCCTAGACTCAATGGTATACTAGTTCTATACGACCACTGAAAGGATCCCTTAAATCAGATACCTAGTTCATCAATAACAGATTATGAAGCCTTCTTCCTCACTTATTTTTCCCATACTTCCTTTCTATAAAATTTTTTAACAACTTGGCACATTATGCACATCACATGGCCTCAGGATATACCCATGGCCTTAGGGAATACTTGTTGCCTCTGGAATACCCATGGCCTTGAAGGATACCCATGGTCTTGGGGACTATCCTGGACTTGAGGAATACCCACACTCCTGGGGACTATCCCTGGGCTTGAGGGATACCCATGGCCCTTGGGACAATCCCAGGAAAGTTTAGTGATGATTTCTTTAGTTTTTTCCACCAACAACAAAAGAAAACTTCCTGAACTATTTAATATTCCATATATTATCTCCCATCCAAAAAAACTTGTTATAATTTGCTACAAGAGAGAAGAGTAAGCTGCAAGACAGTCTTATAAGACATTCTTAATCCTTGCTACCATCCCTGTCAAACATGTACTTTCTCTCATTAAGACAGCTGATACTCAAATTTTTCACCTCTCAACACCAAGTTAACATGATCCCCCAGAAGTCTGTGTAACAACTGTATAAATATTGCACTGTAGTAAAAACAACAGAAAAATTAAAATAAAAAATCTCAATGCAACCTGAGAAAAGGCTATAGAATTTAATAAGTTCATTTGGCACATAAAACAATACCTAATTCCCTTTTTATGATTCCTGTACCTATTTCACTTTCATCATCATTTAACTTTTTTTTTTTTAACAACTGTCACCTGCCACCGAGGTACGGTGTTCAAAAAAAAAAAAAAAAAGAAACACTTTCAAGATCACTATCACTGTCTTGCCAGAGAGGTGTTGATACTACAACTCAAAACTGCAAATATCCTCACTCCTCCTTCAGAGTGCAGGCACTGTACTTTCCACCTCCAACAGCCAACAGCCATCATCCAGTCCCACAAAGAATTTGCCTCCACTCACCCCTATCTAACACACACTCGCACGCCTGTTGGATGTCCAGGTACCTCGCACACAAAACCTCCTTTACCCCCTCCCTCCAACCTTTCCTAAGGCTACCCCCTACCCTGCCCTCCCAGTTAATTTTATTTTGCTCCATCCTCTCCAAATGTCCAAACCTTCTCAGCCTTCTGGATAAGACATTTAGTAACTCCGCACCTCCTCCTAATCCCCAAGCTACGAATTTCTGCATAATATCTACATCACGAATTGCCCACACACACAATATCTCCACTGCCTCCAATCCATGTTTCATGCCCATATAAAAGTGTTGGTACCACTATACTCATACATTCCCCACTTTGCCTCCATGGATAATATTCTTCATCCCTATAAATACCTCAATGCACCACCTACCTTCATCCCATCATCAATTCTATGGTTCATTTCATCTCTCATAGAGCCATTTGCCAACAAATCCACTCTCAAATATCTGAACACTTTACTGTTAATATTAATAAATTTGACTATCAAGACTGGGAAATTAATTGTACATTATCTACTAAAATCATGCTGGTATGAACAATCTATTGCATATAATTAAATTTTTTTCTTAACACGTCGGCCGTTTCCCACCGAGGCAGGGTGATCCAAAAAAAAAGAAAAACCCAAAAAGAAAAAACTTTCATCATTCAACAGTTTCATCATCACTCATACATAATCACTATCTCTGCAGAGGCGCTCAGATACGACAGTTCACATGTCCCTCCAAAATGCCAATATCCCAAACCCCTCCTTTAAAGTGCAGGCATTGTACTTCCCATTTCCAGGACTCAAATCTGGCTAACTGGCTTCTCTGAATCCCTTCACAAAACATTACCCTGCACACACTCCAACAGCTCGTCAGGTTCCAAAAACCATTCGTCTCCATTTACTCCTATCTAACACGCTCACACACACTTGCTGAAGTCCAAGCCCCTTGCCCACAAAACCTCCTTTACCCCTCCCACCAACCTTTTCGAGGACAATCCCTACCCTGCCTTTCTTCCCCTACAGATTTATACACTTTCCAAGTCATTCTACTTTGTTCCATTCTCTCTAAATGACCAAACCACCTCAACAACCCCTCTTCAGCCCTCTGACTAACACTCTTAGTAACTCCACACCTTCTCCTAATTTCCACACTATGAATTCTCTGCATAACATTTACACCACACACTGCCCTTAGATGTGACATCTCCACAACCTCCTCCTCACTGCAGCATTTACAACCCATGCTTCACATCCACATAAGTGTTGGTACCACTATACTCTCGTACATTCCCTTCTTTGCCTCCATGGATAACATTCTTTGACTCCACATATACCTCAATGCACCACTCACATTTTTTCCTTCATCAATTCTATGGTTAACCTCATCCTTCATAAACTCATCTGCTGACAAGTCAACTCCCAAGTATCTGAAAACATTCACTTCTTCCATACTCCCTCCCTCCAATGTGATATACAATTTTTCTTTATCTCAATCATCTGATACCCTCATTATCTTACTCTTATCTATGTTCACTTTCAACTATCTATCTTTACACACCCTTCCAAACTTGTCTACTAACCTTTGCAACTTTTCTTTGAGAATCTTCCAAAAGCACAGTATCATCAGCAAAAAGTAACTGTGTCAACTCCCATTTTGTATTTGATTCCCCATAATTTAATCCCACTCCATTCCCCAACACCCTAGCATTTACTTCCTTTACAACCCCATCTATAAACATGTTAAACAACCATGGTGACATTACACATCCCTGTCTAAGACCTACTTTTAGTGAGAAGTAATCTCCCTCTTTCCTACACACCCTAACCTGAGCCTCACTATCCTCACAAAAACTTCTTTCAACAATCCAGCTGCATCCCACCAAGGCAGGGTGGCCCAAAAAGAAAAACCAAAAGTTTCTCTTTTTAACTTTAGTAATGTATACAGGAGAAGAGGTTACTAGCCTCTTGCTCCCAGCATGTTAGTTGCCTCTTACAACACGCATGGCTTACGGAGGAAGAATTCTGTTCCACTTTCCCATGGAGATAAGAGGAAATAAACAAGAACAAGAAGTAGTAAGAAAATAGAAGAAAACCCAGAGGGATGTGTTTATATATGCTGGTATATGCATGTATGGTGTGACCTAAGTGTAAGTAGAAGTAGCAAGATGTACTTGAAATCTTGCATGTTTATGAGACAAGAAAAAGACACCAGCAATCCTACCATCATGTAAAACAACCACCCTCATAAAAACTCTTTACAGTCTTTAGTAACTTACTACCTATTCCATACACTTACAACATCTACCACATTGCTCCCCTATCCACTATCATATGCCTTTTCTAAATCCATAAATGCAATAAAAACTTCCCTACCTTTATCTAAATACTGTTCACATATATGCTTCAATGTAAACACTTGATCTACACATCCCCTACCCATTCTAAAGCCTCCTTGTTCATCTGCAATCCTGCTCTCTGTCTTACTTCTTTCTTCTTTCAATAATCTATGAACAAGTCTAAACTTTAAGCAGTGCAGACATTATTAGGCTACATAGATATTCTTAAATTTTCACAATGTACCCAAGTTAAAGTAAGTGATTACTTATCCACAAATAACCCATACCTAGGAGAAAGGACCTTGTGACAATGTTTTGATCTAAATTGGACCATTATTGGCCCAAGTTGGATCGAAATATCATCCTGAGTTTCTTACTCCTATGTGCAGGTTATCTGGGTATTTTTCCAGTCACGGTACTGTGCCTATTATTCTTTAAGTGATTACTTGCTGCAAAACTCATTTCAATATATATTTCCTATCATTCTTTTAAGGTGCTTTAAAAAATACAAATTATGATAGTTATAGGTGTTATTTTTCACTTGTACCAAAATTTTACCAGCTGCTGCTACCACATAAAGATAGATTGAAACTGGTGAATTAATAAAATTTAATGGGTAGCCTAAGAAGGGTGGAAGATGGAGAGAATAGATCATAAATGGATGACTGGATGGACATGAAGGATTGACCAATTAATGAACAAAACTGTACAAGAAGATCCAATGTGAACATTGTTTTCCACAACAGAAATTTCTGATGAACTGTAATTCAAAAATTATTTTCAGAATTCTAGCTTGTTCTTGAAGAAGCTGGATGTATTAAGAGATTCATTTAGTTTGCAAAGGTACAACCACCATAAAGAAAAGTTAACTTAGACTACAGCCAAGTGCTGATTCCCTCTGAAATACTGCATGGATTTACAAGCTGACTCTTCTTCACAACAGTAAGCCATGGTATATCCATGTACGGACAGCAAGGCCATGGTATATCCATGTACGGACAGCAAGGCCATGGTATATCCATGTACGGACAGCAAGGCCATGGTATATCCTTGTATGGACAGCAAGGCCATGGTATGTCCATGTATGGACAGCAAGGCCATGGTATATCCATGTATGGACAGCAAGGCCATGGTATATCCATGTATGGATAGCAAGGCCATGGTATATCCATGTATGGACAGCAAGTCCATGGCTTATCAAAGTCTTCCCTAACAAAGAGCATGGGTGACCCTATGCAATAACTCCTTCCAATTACTGACCATATTTTTTATTCTTTTTCTTTGTAACACACTGTCCATTTCCCACCGAGGCAGGGTGACCCAAAAGAGAAGAAACACTTTCATCATCACTCATTCCATCACTATCTTGCCAGTGGTGTGCCTACACTACAGTTAAAAAACTGCAACATATCTCACCCGTCTTTCTGAGTGCACATATCTATTGGGTCTTAACCCTGACTGACTAAGCAATATGCACATCATTTACAGTGCCACATCAATAAATGGCCTCTAAGAGGCTACTTAAGTCAACTGACAATGGCTTATCTTGCTTGAAAATGGCGGACTCTTATTTCATTAGCTTAATACTACTCCCTCTTACATTGGTAACCTTCTACTTAATATAAAATAACACAAGAAACTAACAAGACAAAACAGAACACAAGATACACAACTTATTTTAAAGATTTTGTTTCTTTACAATTTCCAATGTAGAAATATAAACAAATAGAGATATCTTTGTAAGAGAAGAAAGACTAGGAAGCTGACATATCAGTACTGCAATAACTACATTACAAGCCTTTAATGACAGCTCAAGATAGTGCCAAAATCAGATCAAGAATCTTTTAAGAACAACATATCCATTGCTTAATAATGCAAAAGCACCATGCAATATTTTCACTGATGCATCTGAAGTCACTAAAAGTTAGATACAATACATGATAATGCACAGAGGGCAGAGAAAACACAGCAGAAACATGTCCATAAGACAAAGATGCTCCCACCTGTCCTGAAGTATAAATGCATGACCAGATGCAGTCATGATAACACTGCCTCACTGAAAATAGTCCAGCCATTTCTTTTGCAGAGCATTGCATGCCAAATAAATGCACAAACTAATTTCTAAATACCAACAAAAGATCTACTATACCGTATAATGACAAAAAAAGTGACGATTCAATATGCATTACCAAGAGACCAAAATAATTCATAATGCAGTAGTATGATTTATATTTATTGTGATTTACATACAGAAACATAAGACTATGTTGCATGACTTAAAGTAACACAAGTAGAAGTTTTGTCAATTATCAAATCATCATACAGGGCACAGGTTATAACTTGCCAATCTTCATACTTTTCTTTTCCTTTCCCATGCAAATAGGATGTTAACATACGCAGTTGGGAATCAAATTTTTGGTATATAGATATATATTAGTTCAATAAAATTTATATTAGAAAATTAAACTGGCTAGGGTATTAGACAGTGGTTATTTAAGAGAGAATAGGACAAGTTTGAATTATTGAGCATACCTCAAAAATTTCGAGTACGCAGAAGTCCCACCTACTTCTTCAACGTACACAATAAAAACTGTTTAGTGAGACGTGAATAATGGCAAACGTGACGCTTACCTCAAAAATTCATAAAGGCTCTTCTCCTGACTGTGATCCACAAATTCTTATTTTTATATGAGAAGCACTGAGTTGAGAATAACTAATTGATAAGCTCAATAGTACAGCAGACAAGAAAAGGAAGAATGAGTGTGAAATAAAATCAGCTTCAGATCAGAATTGGGAAATAATTTTCTGAACTGATAGTAAAAATTTTGTCAATTGAAAATAAAAATTCTGTGGAATAAAAGTAAGAACGCTGTGGGGTGCCATTACATGGAGAATAATGGATGAGAAATTAGAAGCAGAGAGGCAAGGAGGAGAGTAGAGAAAGTACAGAGATGGGAGGTTATTTGACATTACTTATCTGCTTTGAGGTAATGTGGCATGGAAGATTTCCAAGCACAAATTTCCTATGTGGGCATTTACCTTGGTACGATCAATAATGTGAAGGAAGTAGGACACAGGCTTCCCTGTCCAACGACACTGAACCCTTGAGAGGGGACAGTTCAGACACATGCATGATGGTGCCAATATCTGTTTAAAGAAGGAATTCAATTAGTAGTTAATCTAGTTGATGCCATCAAGAATCAACAGTTTATATTTTTATCTGAAAGCGAATCAAATCCATTAGCATTAAAAATCCATTATTGTAACATTTTACACGAAAAGGGCAATGCAGTATATGAAATATCAATGCGCTTTCCTAATATCTACTTTTTAGCAAAATAAAAACAATATAGTGATAAAAACCCAAGAAAACGTAAGAACCCGTATTATTAAAGATACACAATATTTTACCCACATGTAGTGAACCTTAAGAACATCTACAAAATTAAGATATGCTCATAGGCACAGAAATGAGGAAGTTAATGTATACGGTGAAGGTAAAGAATGTTGATAAGTGGAGAACACCGCACCTTCACCTGATGCACCATCCTCCTCCCTACCATATACACCAGACACTTCACTATATATGAATGAAACATTAAGTACCTCTAATAATAATATTGTTTTTATAACTGCTTGTTACAACAACATTTTTATAACTACTCGTCGGTTGTTGTAACAATATCACATAAAACATCATTATCACAAGTTGTGTGCAGATTATCTGACTAAACAACATACATGAGCAACACACACACTGCCCATACAAATGAGTCGACTGCATTTTTTACCAAGAAGTTTCATGAAGGGTAAGTTATAACAAAAGCATTAGCTTTTGTTATAGAGAGTAAAGTAGAAGAAACGAACCGTCTGAGTTTTTACTCGAGTAGTGTGGTATTCACCCAACAGTATCAAAAAACTATCTACATCACTGTCACAGATTTAACACTGGATTATAACAAATTCTAGTGGCCTCTGTTGACCAATCATATTATTCCAATACAGTTGCCATGTATTAGTGGCCAATTTTGAGAATTTTTTTTTTTTAACCCTCTGAGCATGGTAAGAAGCCAGATTTGCCCGTTAACAGCTTGATCAAGCAGACTTGTACATAAGCAGTCAAGTGGCAAGTTTAGCCTCATGCCTGGTAGTGAGGGTAGAAGAACCAGTGAAATAGTTGTGACATACCTTTGATGAGTTCGAGAGTTTTTCTACTCCCCGAGTCCGGCCTTGGGCCGGCTTATCTAATTACATTATCCATTGACAAAATTGAATTGATGTAAACTTTTGAGATAAAAGCTGTATGAGAACAACATCCTACATCAAGAGAGGCAAACACAGATTAAATTAAACTTTGATTCAGATAAAGTAAATAATACGCCAAAAATACATGTGCAGTGCTTTATGATTTCTTGAATGATTACCGAGAATAAGAAATTACTGTATTTTGTGACATATAAGATGCACCGGCATATAGGATGCGACCCTAAATTTATCATTATTTATAATTTTTTTAAATTGTTCTCTTTGTTAAATGGAATTATTCATAGATCCCAAGCCTGACCGCAAGCCTGACCTTCACCATGTAGGACGCAGGGTGACGTTTTGGTCCAGCTTATGACTAGTTAATGGTCCAAGTCAGACTGAAGTGTCATCGTAAGTTTCTTTCAACTATGTGCAGGTTAGCTGTGTAAGCCCCATTGGATGTGAATGGCCAGTGCCAGAACAACAAACAATTCTCTGGTTCACAAGTGCGTCTACATCAAATAAGAGATATGTACTTTTCATATGTTGAAAAAAGTACTGAATGTGTGTTTTGCTGTAACTCTCCGTTTCAGAATAATAGAAGTCCGGAAGGAAGAAAATTTTTTATTTTGAGTGTGCGTCAAAGTCTAAACGTCATGTTAAGGCAGCCATTATGAAAGTAAAGGTAGAATAGGAAAACTAAGACAACTGGAAAACAGGAACTCTGTCAGCAAAGAGGAAAGTGTCTCCTGATGTGGATCTCTGTCAGGTATTGATGCACTTGGTGAGTGAGCAACTGCTGTCCTGATCATGTTGGGCATCAGTAATTAAGTGAGCATCATTACATTAATAGTATGAACAACTAAAGTGTAACAAACACTTGTCAGTGCTCAATAATAACCCACATGCAGACACAAACTCAGGAGATTAACTGATCTGAACATTTTGACCTCCTGGAGTCCTCTTGTGCAGATGTTGAAGAGGATCCCAGAAAGGGGTCGAAATCTCCAGATCAATTAATCTCCCAAGTTTCTATCTCCATGGGAGTTATTATTGAGCATTAATAGTATACAATAACAACACGTTGATGAATAAGATACTTTTGCAACACCTGGGTATCATTACAAAGAGAGTGATGTTGCATATGAGTCTTATTCATTGATACAGCACTCACTGGCTTGCTGGTGCAGGGTATCACTGATCAAGAAAATGCAGACTTCTCAGTGTTATGCACCCATAGTTAAGCTTGAGTTAACAAATCTCAATTTAAGTGACTACGGAAATTATGGACAAAATCCAGTGTTGATCAATTCAGAAATAACACCGGTTACGGAATTGCTCGTTACTGTTACGATCATGGCAAAACAATCTCATCTCCAGACGCTACAATCACTATCGCCAGCCAGCTGCTCCCTCTATTAGTCGGTTTAATCAGGGGTTTACTGTACTGCTTAGACATGAAACAACCTAAATTAAAAATATTAGTTATAACTTTTTTCCTGTTAAAACATCAATGAAGCACAAAAAAATATTCAATATCAGAATGTGGCCAGCAACATGAAATAAGATTTACAAGAAAAAAAAAATTTAAACACATAATGTGTCAGTTTCAATAAGATACTTAACAATTAATGAGGAGAAAGCTGCGCATGGCTATTGATTTTTATTTTTTAACAAGTCGGCCGTCTCCCACCGAGGCAGGGTGACCCAAAAAGAAAATACTTTCATCATCATTCAACACTTTCACCTCACTCACACATAATCACTGCTTTTGCAGAGATGCCCAGAATGCAACAGTTTAGAAGTATATACGTATAAAAATACACAATATATCCCTCCAGACTGCCAATATCTCAAACCCCTCCTTTAGAGTGCAGGCATTGTACTTCCCATTTCCAGGACTCAAGTCTGGTTATATAAAATAACCGGTTTCCCTGAATCTCTTCACTAAATATTACCCTGCTCACACTCCAACAGCTCATCAGGTCCCAAATACCATTTGTCTTCATTCACTCCTATCTAACACGCTCATGCATGCTAGCTGGAAGTCCAAACTCCTCACCCACAACACCTTTACCCCCTCCCCCCAACCTTATCAAGGATGACCCCTACCCCGCCTTCCTTCTCCTACAGATTTATACACTCTCCATGTCATTCTACTTTGATCCATTCTCTCTAAATGACCAAACCACCTCAACAAACCCTCTTCAGCCCTCTGACTAATACTTTTATTAACTCCACACCTTCTCCTAATTTCCACACTCCGAATTTTCTGCATAACATTTACACCACACATTGCCCACAGTATCATCAGCAAAAAGTAACTGTGTCACTTCCCATTTTGTATTTAATTCCCCATAATTTAATCCCACCCCTCTCCCGGCCTCCCTAGCTTTTACTTCTTTTACAACCCCATATATAAATATGTTATATAACCATGGTGACATTACACATCCCTGTCTAAGACCTACTTTTACCGAGAAGTAGTCTCCCTCTCTTCTACACACCCTAACCTGAGCCTCACTATCCTCATAAAAACTCTTTATAGCATTTAGTAACTTACCACCTATTCCATATACTTGCAACATCTGCCACATTGCTCCTCTATCCACTCTATCATATGCCTTTTCTAAATCCATAAATGCAATAAAAACTTCCCTACCTTTATCTAAATACTGTTCACATATATGCTTCAATGTAAACACTTGATCTACACATCCCCTACCCACTCTGAAACCTCCTTGCTCATCCGCAATTCTACATTCTGTCTTACCTCTAATTCTTTCAATAATAACCCTACTGTACACTTTTCCTGGAGTACTCAGTAAACTTATTCCTCTATAATTTTTACAATCTCTTTTGTCCCCCTTCCCTTTATATAAAGGGACTATACACACTCTCCGCTAATCCCTAGGTACCTTCCCCTCTTTCATACATTTATTAAACAAAAATACCAACCACTCCAACACTATGTCCCCCCCTGCTTTTAACATTTCTGTCATGATCCCGTCAGTTCCAGCTGCTTTACTCCCTTTCATTCTACATAATGCCTCACGCACCTCCCCCACACTCACATCCTGCTCTTCTTCACTCCTAAAAGATGGTATACCTCCCTGGCCAGTGCATGAAATTACTGCCTCCCTTTCTTCGTCGACATTTAAAAGTTCCTCAAAATATTCTCGCCATCTATCCAATACCTCCATCTCCCCATCTACTAACTCCCCTACTCTGTTTTTAACTGACAAATCCATTCATTCCCAAGGCTTTCTTAACTTGTTTAACTCACTCCAAAATTTTTTCTTTTCATTAAAATTTCTTGACAGTGCCTCTCCCACTATCATCTGCTCTCACCACTCTCTTCACCTTTCTTTTACTCTCCATATACTCTACTCTTCTTATAACACTTCTGCTTTGTAAAAACCTCTCATAAGCTAACTTTTTCTCTTTTATCACACCCTTTACTTCATCATTCCACCAATCATTCCTCTTTCCTCCTGCACCCACCCTCCTATAACCACAAACTTCTGCCCCACATTCTAATACAGTGGAACCTCAAAAATCGAACTGCTCCCAACACAACCAATTATGTAAGTGTATTTTTGTAAGTGCTTTTATAAGTGTATTTTTGAGGGTCTGAAATGGACTAATCTAATTTACATTATTCCTGATGGGAATAAATTCATTCGGTAAAGGCACTCGAACAGCCTTCTGGACTGAAGAAAGTTCGATATTTGAGGTTCCACTGTACTGCATTTTTAAAACTATTCCAACCCTCTTCAACCCCCCCCACTACTCATACTTGCACCAGCCCACCTTTCTGCCAATAGTTGCTTAGATCTCACCTGAACTTCCTCCTCCCTTAGTTTATACACTTTCACCTCCCTCTTACTTGTTGTTGCCATTTTCCTCTTTTTCCATCTACCTCTTACTCTAACTGTAGCTACAACTAAATAATGATCCAATATATCAGTTGCCCTTCTATAAACATGTACATCCTGGAGCCTACCCATCAACCTTTTATCCACCAACACATAATCTGAAACTATTTTCATTACATACTATATCATACCTTGTATATTTATTTATCCTCTTCTTCATAAAATATGTATTACTTATTACCAAACCTCTTTCTACACATAGCTCAATTAAAGACTCCCCATTTTCATTTACCTCTGGCACCCCAAATTTACCTACTACTCCCTCCATAACATTTTTGCCCACTTTAGCACTGAAATCCCCAACCACAAGTACTCTCACACTTGGTTCAAAACTCCCCACGCATTCACTCAACATTTCCCAAAATCTCTCTCTCTCTCCTCTACACTTCTCCTTCTCCAGGTGCATATATGCTTACTATAACCCACTTTTCACATCCAATCTTTATTTTACTCCACATAATCCTTGAATTAATACATTTATAGTCCCTCTTTTCCTGCCATAGCTTATCCTTCAACATTATTGCTACTCCTTCTTTAGCTCTAACTCTATTTGAAACCCCTGACCTAATCCCATTTATTCCTCTCCATTGAAACTCTCCCACCCCCTTCAGCTTTGTTTCACTCAAAGCCAGGACATCCAGCTTCTTCTCGTTCACAACATCCACAATCATCTCTTTCTTATCATTTGCACAACATCCACACACATTCAGACTTCCCACTTCGACAATTTTCTTTTCTTATTCTTTTTAGTAATTATTACAGGAAAAGGGGTTACTAGCCCGTTGTTCCTGGCATTTTAGTTGACTTTTACAACACACATGGCTTACAGAGGAAAGATTCTTATTCCACTTCCCCATGGATGCATGAGGAAAAGTAATAAGACCAAGAACTATTAAGATAAAATCAAAGAAAACTCAGATGAGTGTGTATAAATAAACATGTACATGTATGTGTAGTGTGACCTAAGTGTAAGTAGAAGTAGCAAGACGTACCTGTAATCTTGCATATTTATGAGACAGTCAAAAGGCACCAGCAATCCTACCATCATGTAAAACAATTACAGGCTTTCGTTTTACACTCACTTGGCAGGACGGTAGTACCTCCCTGGGTGGTTGCTGTCTACCAACCTTACAAATATTTTCAACACTTAAACACATACTTACCACTTAAATTTCTATCAGTTATTCTGAAGTTAAGAGGACAAAATGATTTTGAAGAGACTATTCGAGCCCCATCCTTGAGATCGGCAAATACCTCCTTGAGCATATGGTCTACATTTGGCCCAAAGGCAAAATTGTTGACAAAGACAATGGAAGAACCAGTAATTCCTTCACGATGTTCTTTCTTCAAGAAGTCACCTTTCATTAACTTGTATTCACTATGTCTTTTGCCATACCATCTCATCCATTTTGTATACAAACGGTCCATTTCAGTTGCATATCTGTAAATAAACCCACACATTAACAATTACATACAGCCTAACACCTGATCTAGGCCTATGAAGTAACGTTACATGCTGCCACAAAAAAATCTGTGTAAATACAGTAAGACCCCAATATCCTCAGGGGATACCTTCCAAGGACCTGACATGGATACCAAAACTGTGGACAGTAGCAAACCCTATATGTAAGTCCTATATACAGTGGAACCTCAAAAATCGAACTGCTCCCAACTCAACCAATTATGTAAGTGTATTTTTGTAAGTGCTTTTATAAGTGTATGTTTGAGGGTTTGAAATGGACTAATCTAATTTACATTATTCCTGATGGGAATAAATTCATTCGGTAACGGCACTTGGACAGCCTTCTGGACTGAAGAAAGTTCAATATTTGAGGTTCCACTGTATACCCATTATAAAGTTTAGTTGATAAATTATGCACAGTAATTGGAGAACTATCACTTTTTCACTGGTGGGAAGAACTTCACTGTCATGTGGGTTTTCGATACGTGGATGGGTAAAAATACTCACGTAGGCTGGTAGTACGTATAATATATATCGGGAAGTATGGGAAGCGCCAACAGCCGACCTGTCTCTCTCTGCTGCCTAACTAAGACTGACCCATAGTGCCTACGGGTGAGGGTGTTTGAAATCCTGCTATGGTCAGCAGCAATATGAATACAGTCAATGATTCACACAGACTGTTGGTAGTGAGTCATCTACTGGTACACTGGTTACTGGTAACTGGTTACTAGGAACTGGTACTACTACTGAGATCACAGCTTCTCTTAGGCTATGAAGAGGTATTTTTGGGCCACAGTAAACCGTGGATAACTGAAACTGCGGATACTGAATCAGTGGATACGGGGGTTCTACTGTACTGTGCTTAACACCCAACATAACCATAATTGATTTCAAGGGTTTATCTACCCTCACCACAATGTTTTTTTAGTTCTTATTTATCATCTGATTTCATTTATATTTTTTTTGTTAGAATCAGCATGAAGTATTGTTATAAAAAAGTTTTATTAAGATCAGCTAACAAACAAATGAATTACAAAAAAATTGTATTTGGCAACACTGTTTTGATCACTGCCAGAAATGTCTTATGCACCATCTACTGAAAAAAAAATGTCAAATCGATTTGAGGATGGTGGAATATACTGCTAGGTAGTGTGTCAATCTGGTAATTAACAACTGCAGTTAGTGTGTGTATCTGGCAGTTAACAACTGCAGTTTAGTAGTATCTATCTGGTAATTAACAGGCAAATGATGGAAGCCCAGCCATTCTTTGCACTGGATGACCCTCGGTGCCTTTATTTTTTCATTTATGTTTTTAACACACTGGCCATCTCCCATCAGGGACCCAAAACAGAAGAAACATTCTCATCATCATTCAACCAGTGTCTTGTCAGGAGTGTGCTGACTCATTCACAGTTCAGATGACCCTCTGACCTGCATCATCCTCATCACAGTTCAGATGACCCTCTGACCTGCATCATCCTCATCACAGTTCAGATGACCCTCTGACCTGCATCATCCTCATCACAGTTCAGATGACCCTCTGACCTGCATCATCCTCACCACAGTTCAGATGACCCTCTGACCTGCATCATCCTCACCACAGTTCAGATGACCCTCTGACCTGCATCATCCTCACCCATCCTTCAAGGTGCAGGAACTCATCTTTTAAAGTAATAATTTATATAATCAATATGCGACAACTATTGGAAAGGTAAATTAACATACTGGTATGTCCAGTCTATTCACTCTTAACTATGTGAGGAACTTACTTGCATGGTGTCTCAGCTTTTTCAATACCAACACATATTTTGCAAGACGTCAAAGCAGCCATTTGCAGCACAACCTGACCTACGCCAGAACCAAGATCAACAAACATGTCATCTTCAGTGATGTGGATTTGGTCTATCATCTGGCATATCAACTCAAATGATGTCTCTCCATAAACCTATGAAAAAAATAATTATCTAAAGATTCAGTCATAATTTTACATACATGTAAAAGAAAGATGAAGCAACAAGCACACTGAATGAATCAACATTAACCCATAAACGGTCCAAACGTATATATACGTTTTTTCAACATTTGAAAGTATGTAAAAAAAGTAGATCTTTTTGTTTTTCTACATTTCAAAATGTGTAAAAAAACTTTGATCTACTTTTTTTTTTGTTATATTTGAAAATATGTAAAAAAAACTTAGATCTACTTTTGTAGCACTACACATGTGAACGTAGATCTGCTTGGACCGTTTACGGGTTAAGCCTGAAATACTGTGCATATCAAAAAGTTTTTTAATCACCACACTAACTACAAACTCACTCATTACACAAATAACCCGCATATAGGAGAGAGAGAACTTTACGACAACATTCCGGTCCAACTTGGCCCACTTACAGAGTCACACTAACATAAGAGAGAGAGAGTTATTTGTGTATTGTTCCAGTCATGGTATTGTGCCTTATTGTTCTTGATAAATTCACTTGCTGTAATATCTACTGTCATGGCTCATGGAATCGTAACACTGGCTTGGAGTTTTAGGATTCATTCACAACGAGTTCAAACCCCACCCGTTCTGTGGTTTATACCTATTGAATACACATATAATATGCATTACTACTGTACTTCATTATTATAATTGCAAATAAAAAAAATTCTTACACCATGACTTACAAAATAAAGATGTACTGTACACGTGCACTACTGGTTTATAGTTTCTTACCTCAGGTGAGAAAGGTTCATACTGATTAAGTTTCTCTGGGTCAACGACAGCATGATTGTAGATCTGTGTGAGGATGTGCTTGAGCATTCCTCGAGAAGGACGCTTATTGAAGCGAGTGGCTGGTAGGCTCGTCCCCTTCTCCTGTTTAAGCAAACACTGGTAAATATGTCTTACACTTTCATATTCATTTTTTTTTTTTTCAACAAGTCGGCCGTCTCCCACCGAGGCAGGGTGACCCAAAAAAGAAAGAAAATCCCCAAAGAGAAAATACTTTCATCATCATTCAACACTTTCACCTCACTCACACATTATCACTGTTTTTGCAGAGGTGCTCAGAATACAACAGTTTAGAACCATATACATATAAAGATACACAACATATCCCTCCAAACTCATATATTCATATAGTACTGTATTTAAGCCCATTGTAATACTAAACACAATTACTGTACAGTACAATATACTGTACAGGTTTTCAAAGTAAACTTTCAATATATGTAATGGATTTCATAGGGAAATTAATGGATGAATGGGGATATTCCTTTACCTTTGACGAGTTCTTGAGTTTTTCTACTCCCGTAATGTTAAATAATGCCATAAAAACCACTGAAATACTCTACCATTTAACTAATATAATGCTACACACTATTTACAGATACACTGTAATAAACATTGAAAATAAAGGTGTTAAAAACAATTTAATCAGTGGATTTACCCTTTTGTTTTAAAAGACTTTTATATTTAGGATTTACTATATATTAATGACGGTAATAAAGTCTGCACACTGAAATAAAGCCTGGTGATATTAGGTGGCACAGCAGAGCTCAAAATGGGCTGGTGCCATTTTCAATGCAGACTCTTGGACAAAACTGTGTAAGAGACGTGGTGTGGTGTTAGCATACATTTATGAGACGTTTTGACTTTCAGGAACTCATGGCAAGCAAAACTTATCCTCATAAAAGTATTTTACATTACACATGCGTGTCATTTACATACTTTCTGGTATTATATACCATTTCTGGTCAAAACTGGCATATTATACAGTCGATTTTGACTACCTTATAGTACGTATACCTCCATCTGCACACTCCTCCTTGCTGCTACTTGGCCCAGTATGACATTATGCTTCAGCACTTTCAGGTGAATATAACAACAGTTTAAAAGAGGAAGTTAAATAAGCTGGATCCTCACTTCACAACACAGGAATACCTTACTAATATGGTGCTTTGTTTTAGAGCGCTTGCTTAAAACAGCGCTTCGCTAATATGGAAATTCGCTTTAGAGGTTTGCTAATATACAGCTTCGCTTTGGAACGCTTCACTAATATAGCACTTTTCAATTATATTCATGTTTATTATTTTCAGCGGTGATCCGTACATCAGCTGACTGGCATAATATTTTTTATTTGTTATTCTTACTTCTGCATTATTTACTTAGACCTGGGTGCTTAATAAATGATAGTGTAGACATGTTTTTAGGCTTTTATATGCAACAGCAAGTGAAACAAAGGCTGTGATTCACTTTAAGGCGGTCCATATCCTGCTGTATTAGCAAGGTATGCCTATACAGTGGACCCCCGGTTTACGATATTTTTTCATTCCAGAAGTATGTTCAGGTGCCAGTACTGACCGAATTTGTTCCCATAAGGAATATTGTGAATTAGATTAGTCCATTTCAGACCCCCAAACATACACGTACAAACGCACTTACATAAATACACTTACATAATTGGTCGCATTGGGAGGTGATCGTAAAGCGGAGTTCCAATGTATACCCCTTTCTTCACCAGCATTCTCTTTCTCTTAAGAAACCTTTTCTTCACCAACACTCTCTCTCTTCCCTTAAACTGTCCAAACGTAGATCTACGTTCACGTGCGTAGCGCTCCGACCTTTATTTTCCCCATAAAAAAAAACATAAGATCTAGGTTCGGAGCCCCTCGCAAGCGAACGTAGATCTACGTTTGGACAGTTTAAGGGTTAATCACCTCACTAACTCCTCACACTCCTCATGTGAAATGCAAAGAAATTGCCAATAAACCTGGAGTATCTGCCTAAAATTTGAGTATTAACATACAGACAAATGCAAAGTTCTAAAAATTGGACAGAAAAATAACCATGCTACATATAAACTAGATAATGTAGATCTTAATATTACTTATTGTGAAAAGGATTTGGGAGTTATGGTTAGCAGTAACCTAAAACCAGAACAACAGTTCATAAGTGTTTGCAATAAAGCCAACAGAATCCTTGGCTTCATATCAAGAAGCATAAATAATAGAAGTCCTCAGGTTGTTCTTCAACTCAATATATCCTTGGTTAGGCCTCATTTTGATTATGCTGCACAGTTTTGGTCACTATTACAGAATGGATATAAATTCTCTGGAAAACGTACAAAGGAGTATGACAAAGTTGATCCCATGTATCAGAAATCTTCCCTATGAGGATAGACTAAAGGCCCTGAATCTGCACTCTCTAGAAAGACCTAGAATTAGGGGGGATATGATCGAGGTGTATAAATGGAAAACAGGAATAAATAAAGGGGATGTAAATAACATGCTGAAAATATCTAGCCTAGACAGGACTCGCAGCAATGGCTTTAAGTTGGAAAAATTCAGATTCAGGAAGGATATAGGAAAGCAATGGTTTGGTAATAGAGTTGTAGATGAGTGGAACAAACTCCCAAGTACAGTTATAGAGGCTAAAACGTTGTGTAGTTTTAAAAATAGGTTAGATAAATACATGAGTGGGTGTGAGTTGGACCTGACTAGCTTGTGCTACTAGGTCAGTTGCCGTGCTCCTAACTTAAGTGACTGTGACCTGAGCTGACTAGATTGGGGCATTGGCTTAAGCCAGTAGGAGACTTGGACCTGCCTCGCATGGGCCAGTAGGCCTGCTTCAGTGTTCCTTCTTTTCTATGTTCTTATCAGTATTGGCACAAATTTTGGTATCGCCCTATCCCTGGTCTCAGACCGGGTCGCGGGGGCGTTGACCCCCGACACCCTCTCCAGGTAAACTCCAGGTATCCCTACTAATGTACAAACAACCTGGCTATTGCTGCTCCCAGCAGCAATAGCCAGGTTGCTGGGAGCAGCAATAGCCAGGTTGCTGGGAGCAGCAACAGCCCAGGTTGCTGGGAGCAGGAATATCTATTGCTCCTGTGAGCAGCAATAGATACACATAGGCACATACTATAAAAGATAAAAATTACTCAATGGAATATACTTGGGGACAGAGCACAAAAACTCTCGAAACTCGTCAAAGGTATATTAAAGGAAAGGATATAGAGGAAGGAGCAAAGGAGACTACATGGTCTCTTGTGCCCAGGTATGCTCAAATAAATTAAAAAAAAAAAAACGTAATTTATCGGCCAAATATCCAAATAACATTTCTTATGGATGCAATTTGTGTCTTACATACAAATTATTGGTAGGCATATAAGTAAGTTGATTTTGACAGGTACATATAAGTGTAGCCAGGTAATTTACAGTGTATGATCCCCCCTCCCCATTCAAAAAAAAGTCAAAGTGACTTATTTCTATTGGTTACATACGCTATATTCAATTAAAACTCCCCAAATACTTTGCTCATTGTTCAAAATACAAGCCAAGAGACAATAATAAATATGACCGGTGAGATATTGGCCTTGACTTTTAATTAAACAGTTATGGCATCACTTGTGGGTGCAGGAGGAGTAGCATCATCGACATCCTCATGGTGGGTGGGTGGCAGACAAGTTTTTAACCTCTCGACCCACCTTGGCCAGCAGCCTCGTCCCTGAGGCCCTCACAACACTCTCAGTCTCTGCCACACGTACGCAACACTTTTTTTTTTACAAAAAGAGTATTGAGAGGTGCACCTCCCACCCCGGTGATTATTATAATCAAAGAGAAGCGCTAAACCACAAGGGCTATACAGCGCTGCTCCCCCCCCCCCAGTGAACTACACTTTTCCCAACCCTACAAGAACTGATGTATGGTACAAGACCTTCCAGCAGTACAAATACATTTAACATGTTACATTGTACAGAGATGGGTGATACTTGAGTACATGTTGAAAGTCCAGTTATGCAGAGTATTTCGGGCAAACTATAATAAAAAATGAGTTGGATTATGGTCTAGTACCTTTGTATTGTACTGTTTCTTACACACCAGATGACATCATAGGTACCATTTTGTACATGACAGTGGGTTGTGTGATGAGGACGAGTGTCCCGGGAAGGAAACACCGTATATTCATTGGTGTAAAATATACATTAATAGTACATGGGTTAAAATATAATGCTGGAATTCAGGAAGGGGTATTCAAAGGCTACAACCTCTGGAAGTTTTAAATATTATTTGACACAGTATTGAAGCGGCAACACCACCGGCATAGATCTGCTACTTTCACTATTGGTTACTGTATGTTAATGATTCGGGGATCATCCCATAGGCTCGGTTTCAGAGCCTACAGGATGGTCCCATAGGGGAAAAAAATATTAAACGAATAATATTCACAAACAGAGGAAAATAAAAGTGGTAAATATAACGAATGGTAGGAATCAATAAAGCAAATATTGAAAGGAAGAGTCCGGAATTATAACTGACCCCTACAAACGTAACTATGTGAAGGATATACCTACTATGATATTACAAGAATGTCTTCAATCCTCCAACCCACTCGCTTCCCTACCTCGTTTTTAGCTGTCTCTATTAGGAGAGATGAAGTCACGCGTAGCGAAACGTCTTCAGTATTGGTACAGTACGTGTATAGTTGTAGATCTTGTGTACATCAATTTACCGTGTACGACACCAGGGCTTAAACAAGGTCAAATGTAACTCTGGACGGATCCTCTGGCAAAGGACACGGAACCTAAACATCCAAGAGTCATGGAGGTCAGAAAGCAGACATTCCTCTAAGAGTGTTAAAATAACACCAGAAAGACAACGACACAAGCTCGCTTCACACGATTTCAAATTACGTGACTAATTCACTTCGAAATAAAGTTAAGGAGCAAGCCCAAGAGCTGGCGCTCATCCTGGAAACTCAAGCAGGTTACCGCAAGACAATTTTGGGAGTAACTGCTCCCAAGGCCTGGTCTCATAACAGGCCTTCTAGATGATGAATGGACTGATCAACCAGGCTTTTAGTGTTAACCACAT